TTCACTATAGCTACTACTATTTCTGATCTCCAATGCATTAGATAATGTCACCATGACACGCTAAACGAATAATTATGTTATGGAAATATTTCGTTCTAGTTAATTGATAATTATAAACATGAATATTTTGATTTTTTTATACGTGCTTTGTTTGAAGGAATATTTTCATTTCAAGGAACTTTGATACACATTAACAAACCTAGAGAAATCAGCACAATCAACCTTCATCAAATAAAACTAAAAGACAAAAAATATAAGTTATATCAGAGTCAACATCATGATCAGTACAGTATTAAAAATGTATCATTCATAAATCATGAGCACCAAATGTAACTTGCCTACGAAGCGCAAACTTTTTATCTTCAAAAACTTGAAAAAGTGTCACGGCAGTGGGTGTGAAAAACCTGAAAAAGTGTCATATCGGCGGGTGTGCGCGTGGGACAAAGAGTCCAATTCGGTGACGTCTACTGAGTTAAAGTGATGTTATATATTAAGACGATCTTGCCACCACGACAGGGATTAAAACAAAATTGATGTTCTGTTTGTAACTTTTGTTTGTTTATAAGTGCTGTTAGTTGATAATTCAAACCAAGCCCCCAGACTAGCTTCTTATCAACTTGCAAGTACAGTGTTCTGTACGCTTACATCATGTCGAGAATTCCATAAAGTATATTGTTCAAAATTTATCAATAGTTTAACCACACAGTGCTTCTTTTTTTAAATATATAGTAATCGTACTGTTATTAAACCAATAAACTAACTTTGGATGCTTTTAAAATAGCGATTTGAAATATCGCGGCATTATTTACGTAGAAAATTGCCGCTAGAGGGCTCTAACTCTTTTCGATATTTCAGCCAATGAGAAGGACAGGATCGGTAAATGTCTGAAAGGCCGTCGCAATAGGCTATGCATACTGAATATGTTAAGTCTAAAAACTGGAGATCTTCTTTCTAGATATAGCCTACCAAGTATCCAATCTCTGGCATGATTAAGTACACAAACGAACTAAATTGCACAAATGAAATAAAACATGGGGGGTGGGGGGGTTGTCAATTCATGCAGATCTGTTTAAAAAAAAAAAAAAAATAAGCCTGATACACTTTCCTTTTTTAAAGAACACAATGAGAGGACGTCTATTTTGATGGATGAGTATACAGAAGGATACCATGTGACACCTGGCCAATTCATAAATAATAGGACAACCGATCGTATGGAAATTGTAACATCATTTAGACCACAAAAATACCTACCTAAATTGCATGAAAAAAGCAAAATTTGGATATATACTAAAAGGATAAAGAAACGCAGGGTGAACTTTAAACCAGAAATTAAGTATGATATCGGGCTTCATTTAAAACGAAATTTTGTATACTTACAGATAAATTAAAGCTTAAAAATTTCCAAAGTCTGTATTTTGCATATGACAATTGGTTTAGAGGTACTAACGATTAAATTGAATGGACCCATAGGATTTTGAAATTGAAATTGAACTGAGTCATCAATATCTTGTGTGTCCGCCGTTTGCTGTGGTCACGGCCCTTATTCTTCTGGTCATAGAGTTCATGAGAGCGTTAATCCGTCTTATGGGGACGTTGTCCCACTCTTCAATCAGAGCTCTGGTCAACTGCTCTCCAGTAGCAGGGGGTGGCTGGCGCTTTCGAACCTGTCAATCCAACTGGTCCTAAAGATGCTCGATCGGGGACAAATCAGGGCTATATGGCGGCCAATCTAATGGCTGAATGTTGTTGTTGGCCAGAAAGACTTGGCTAATCCTTGCTACATGGGACCTAGCATTATCCTGCTGGAGAGTTAGATTATGCTGCTGTAAGAAAGGGATAACATGGGGTCGGAGGATCTCATCTCTATACTTAGCTGCTGTTAAATTGCCATCAATAACAACCAATTGTGATTTTAACCAGTGTGAGATTCCTCCCCACACCATTACTGAACTGCCCCCAAACCTATCCCTCTCTACAACACAAGCGTCCGTAAAACATTCGCCACGATGCAGATAGACACGTTGACGGCTGTCAGATCGATAAAGACAGAATCGAGACTTGTCTGTGAAGAAAACTCATCTCCACTGCCTCAGTGGAAACCGTAGTGGAGCATGTGCAGCAACCCAGGCCATACGATGTTGACGTCGAGCAGGGGTAAGGTGTGGACCTATGTAGGGGCGATGTGCTCTTACACCAACTTCTCTTAATTGATTCCTTACAGTTTTTGAACTTATAGGATGCCCATGATTTCCACGAACATTAAGTGCACTCTCAACGGCAGTAAGGCGTCAATTACGCACATGAGAGACGACGATATAGCGATCCTGACGTCGTGACATTACGCGCGGACGTCCTGACCTAGGTCGATCGGCCAATCGCCCAGTTTCCCGAAGACGTCTTACAAGACATTCTATAGTAGAAACTTAACACCAAAGTGCCTAGCAACCTGATTTTGCAGCTGTCCTTGCATCAGCATCTGAATGGCCTGACCCCTCTGAACTTCTGTGAGTCGTGCCATTCTTAAAACGAATCAAATTCTCAATTAATTTTAGGGAAGCAGTTGGTCTGTATAAAGACTAACGAAGAGTGACTTGACCAACGCTGCATGAGGCCAGAACTTCTTGTTTTTTCCTTCCTCCATTTACCAGAGCTGTGCACTGTACCATGACTAAATTTTCGATACATGACAAGGTGTAATGTGACCTAATTACTCAATCCACAAAGTTTCACTTTATTTGGAGAACGCATTTTCAAAATATCAGATAAATATTACCCTGCGTTTCTTTATCCTTTCAGTATATGTATGTTTGCGTATTCTGTCTTTATTCTTGTTGTCATTTTGGTATATTGCCTTGTGATACAACAGATCATCGAGTGTTTAGTCAAAGTATCCCCAATTTGAGATAATTTCTCATAAAAAATGAAAATGAGTAGTACTTGCTAAGATTACACTGAATGTAGAGAACATAAAAAGAGGTGTAGGAGTCCAAGGTTCTGTGAGTGGTACTAGTTGGTACATGTATCGGTAGAAGAATCCTTGGTGGATGCAAAGGATTCTAGCAGAGCTCCATAGATGATAGGTACTAACCACTAAATAAAGGATGGAGCATCAACACTAAGGATTCGGTGATCAGTAGTTTTATTAGGTTGTCATGTTTCGGCTAGCTAGACTAGCTGTCATCAGAACAGCGGTACAAGTATCGGCATAGCTAAGCGTAAAATTACAGTTTAGCCTTGACATAATAACACATTGTCATGATCACGTGATGATAACAATAGTTAGTTACACAATACAAAGTAAAGGAACAAAGGTAGCTATAGATTATATAAAATACATAAGTGGTACAGCAATAGTGTTTTAACAAGATACTTGTACCGCTGTTCTGATGACAGCTAGTCTAGCTATCCTTCCCAATCCTGTAAACCATCTTACCGATTTAAATGTATTCATGTTCATGTATGCACACCTGTACTGGGCATGGAAGCGGCCATTATATATACATGTTTAAAAAACCAGTACAATTATGTGTGTTCTTTACAAACCATAAGCTGCTGTAATATCACGTTCTATACCTAAATAATTTAATGTGTACTCTCAAACAATAAAAAGAAAGGTAGGTGGCTGAATTTTATAAAGCATTTTCTTTGAACTGAACGTTTGAATGTCAGCAAAATATGTAAAGCAGCCCTTGGATTGAACTGGAAGTAGTATAGTTGGCGTAATCAGGGTTTTCCATAAGAGCTGGTCGCCGGCCAATTTGACCGGCTTCTTTGATCATTTGGCCGCCTACACCAATCCAGTTCCGTAATAATGTTCCGTACACGACTACACATACACGGCAGGCCACCCCTTCCTCGCCGCGTTGCGGCTCGGGTCGGCTTGCTTCACCAGCCTCCTACTTTCACTACACAGCCTACTACTAACAAAATTATGGAAACCCTGCGTAATTGTAGAATAGACTGCCTTATAAGGTAATTGCAGTTAAGCTTATTCTGGTTTCTAACAACCGAACATTAATAGTCGTTTAAAAGTAACAGAAATGGATCTGAATGATCTCAGTGGATCTCCATGTGTAATCCCTAAATGAGCAGGATAGTGATCCCACATAAGTTGACCTGCAGTAATGTATTAATTCTATAACTTTACAGTGAAGAATTCACAGAATGGACATCCTCACAAGTAAAATCTAAGAATACGTTCACTGAAATTTTTTTTTTTTCAATTTCAAGTTATTGTTTCAAAACATCAACATGAAGGCAGTTGTCAAAAAACAGTGACAAATTAAGTGTCAAAGTAAGGTACAACAGTTCTCCAAGATGATAGACACTGACGAATGGGCAGATGCATGCATATAAGCCCCCTACCTTCTTTTGGTCAATTGTCTTTCAGTTGCCAAACTTAAAACTAATCCCAAACAATCAATTTCACTAGTAAATGTTGAAATGCAACCAGTCCAAAATAATTAAAATTACTGTGTGCAAACAAGTTTTCTATTTAGAACTACACAATTTCAAACCTTTGACCTCCACACTTGAAAAGCAATTAAAAGTAAGGACTTTTCAATAAACAATTCCTTAATATGTAGTTTCATTGGTCAATCAATAAAGATTTTTCATTGGTCGATCAATAATGTTGTTTCATTGGTCAATCAATAATGTTGTTTCATTAGTCTATGGGAATTAAAGTTATCTAGTAGAAACCTTTATCCAGACAACACAATGGAACTAACAGTGACACAGACAACTATATTTTATCTTAAATGGTTTTTATGGTAACATATAAACATGTATGCAATATTATTGGAGTCACTAGGACTGTTCAGAATTCAAGTAAGTGTTGAAACGACAATTCTAATCAATCTTGACAAAAGTATCATCCTTGTAAACCATTGCATCAATAACTATACCTCTGGACTTGCCTGTATACATCAATATTTTGTCCATCATACCAATATAATTTTTTTTTTTTTTATATTTTTTTTTATAATTGATTTCCTTACCTGCCATCTTCATCAATGAATTTCATGATGTTTCCTGGTTTGATGTCACGATGAATGATTCCATTTTGTTTAAGATAGTGCATGCCATGAGCTGAAACATAATATTCCATTTTTTAAAAATATTCTTAAACACATAGCATGACTGCGAGATATGGTCATAAAATTATTATCAAATTTGATAAACTGACCTCATGACTTTGCTGTGGTGTCCTTTAGCCAATTCATATACATGTAGATCTTTTTATCACTATAAGCTGTTAGCACTGTGTTAGACAATTCATATAAAGATATGAAAGATTCCAATATTCTGTAAAATATTCCCATCAAAAGCTGCAAGGTAATGTAAGAGGTTTGAGAGAGATTCATCCAGTATTTCTCAAGAGATAGCAATAATGAATTTTCATCAATAAAATCAATGACAACTGTCAGACATTTTGTTTTCTGATCAGTCCAAAAATCAAATGGGCACAACTAGAAACAAAAGGGGAATTTATACAAGAAATTTGCGAAAGATCAATCCAGTAGCTTTCAAGATATAGCGATAACAAAAATTGTTTAAGGACAGCGATGTAGGGTGACTTGATTAGCCCAGTATCCAATGATGGTGGGCTGAAAAACAAAGGACTATAACTCTGGAAAACATCCATAAATTAAAACTTTAAAATCTGTTAAATGTAGAGGTGATAGGCTGAATAATGTTAACCTTAGGTCAGTTTAAATAGGCAGGTAATTTTAACACCTGATTATTCAATAAGAATAATACTTTTCTCTCTAGTGATAGTTTGGACCTTCTATTATTATACTTAGAATTTTAATCTTACTGTAGAATGGTATGTATGGTTAACTATTGACAGAGATAACGGTGCTGCATGTGGTTACAGGTTGTAAATTACCATAATAAGTACTTTACACTGCAAATCATACACACATTGGGCAATGTTAACTTACTAGACTCTGATAGTTCAAACCTTAATTTATTTTCACAAGCATAATTTTGTATATTTCATACAGGTTCAACAATATTCAACTTTGTTCAGATTGACTTAAGGTTAATGTTTACCCAAAAACCATCTTAATTAAGTCCCATAAGTATGTGTACATATCAGAAGTTTTAGTTGGAAGTAGTTACAAGATATATTAATACACATGGTGACGCAAAAATCAAAGGCCACAAACTAATCATTTCAACCATGCTATATTGTGACCTTTGACCTTTTCAACATATCATTCTTTGTAATTATATTAACAAATGCATGAAGATTGGTTATTCTATTAGTTTGTTGGAAATATAAGTTTCTAAATCCTAGAAAACTATGTGAAAGTGAACAAGATTGGCAGAAAATTACTGGAATTGTTGTTTCCAGTCTTTATGAATTTACCAGCTACCAAATACCTTACCTAATAGAGATTGACCAACACAAAACACCAGTTTAGGTACATAACTCTTACCAATATCATTCAGGACTCTTAAAAATTCTTCTTCAGGAAATCCGAATGCATTTTCTGGTTTATCAAGCTGTGTGAAGACACTTCCAGCACGGCAATACTCCATACCAAGTACATGGTTCCCCGAGGACTGTAAATAACAATATATTATGTTGTGTATATCTGGTTATTTTCTGATTATTTTTGGAACGAGGTCCATGGTTTTGAGAAAAAAGTATAAATACAACTAAAGAGGGCTACGGGCTTTGACGAACATCTGATCTCAAAAACTTTCAGCAGGGAGAAAGGTTTTTCTACTTTGAATGAAAGCTAACTAGGAAGCTGTTTTTCATGATACAGATCGTATTTTGGTGAGGAGTAGGTAACTGTGACAAGTGTTACCTATTCTTTGACTGAAAAGTTGGAGCTCAATCCAACTGGTGATACTTGAAAAGAAGTTTGAAATAGGTGTTGCACAGGGAAACCATGATTGAGCAATCATGTTACAAAACTACCACCCTGGCTGTCGTGCCAAAGTTTTGACAAGGTCAAAAAATAACAACACTTCGTTGGCTACCTTTCCTTAACATTCTCAACAATTTTTAGCTCAATGGCACCAGTGGGACTGGAGAAGAAGTTTAAAATATGTTTTTTTCAAGATGGTGGCCATCTTGGATTTCAGACAAACCTGAAAAATAACACTCGGTCCAGACCATCTCAGGATCATTTCATGCAAGTTTGAGCTCAATCCCAATGTAGAATCTTAGGAAGAAGTTTTAAATGTCAAAAGTTTATGCACAGCACATGACAATCAAAGTAGCACAATGTGTAAAAATTTAAAGATATTAGAATTTAATGTAATCAAAATTTTTATTTCTGTCTCCTTTGCTATACTTTATACTTTGTGGACCAGAAGCAAATACAAGGTTCACAACCATCTGATCCCTGGTCTGACAGTCAACAAATTGGACAAAGGATAAACCTATCCAGATTTTGCAGACAATATGATGAACTATAAACTTATTTGCATTTTGGGGGAAATTTAATTAATTGCAAAAACATAAAAGCCCTGTTATGTTATACTTATCGACATATCATTCCTTTAGCATTACCAGTAAGTGAAAATGTTGTACCCTAATGATTACATTTAAATTAATTGTGTCAAGCCCCTACCCCCAACCCATCCAGAAAAACAAAACAAAAAACAAGAGACTCATAGGCCTTAATGGTCATCTTACTCAAATGCCATTACTCTGCACATATTGCTTGTAGAAAAAGCAAGATACTGGCCTAATATCAAGAATCTTGCTTAAGCTTAACTGCCTACCCTAACCAATGAATCAGGCCAAACTTGTTGAAATCCACGCAGGCAGAAAGGAAGAGTAGGGTTTTAAATCTAATTTCAGCACTTTCCCCTTTGGGGCTCTGTTCCTCAACCTCTAGGGGTCAAATCAAAATTCTGAATTTAACAAATCATCATCCTCATCCGATGATTATTCAGACCAAATTTGGTTGAAATCCATCCAGGTATGAAAGAGAAGTAGGTTTAAAGAACAAGAGGCCAAGTGGCCTTGATGGTCACCTGAGATAAGCAATATTGAATATAAAAGTTAAAGGATAGTTATCAAGTGTCATGAAACAGAAATTGTGACACTGAATATAAAGTGTCAATACATGCATACCATCAAAAACGTCATCCTATACTGATGATTTTTACAAGTTATATCCAACGGGAAATAACCAATGATATGCTCAAAAAATACAATTTTTCTATGAAAATTACAGTAAAGTCTCAAAAAGATTTTCCTCCCCAGTAAGAAACGTGAGACTCATTTTGGTAATTAAAGCACATTAAGATGCTTCCATTAATGAAGATTATTTGATTCTACCATATCTGGGCCTTGAAAAGAAGATTTTTGAAATTTAAGTCAATCTGACCCCTTTTGGCCCCGCCAATCAGCCCCTGGGGGTCAGTCCGGATCGAAATGGGCATACCATCAAGCCGTCATTCTTCACTCATAATTCTAACAAAGTTTGAAATTATTCCAACAGAAATTAAACAAATTATCCTAAAAAATCTAGTTTTCCCAAATAAACTATTGTAAACTTTACTCCCTCCCCACGGGGAAATGTGAGACCCTGGGGCATAAAATTCATAATTTTTATGAAGCACCTAAGATGCTTCCATTCATAAAGAGTATTTGATTCTGTCTGGGTGTTGAGAAGAAGATTTTTGAAATCTGAGTCAATTTGACCACTTTTGACCATGCCCCTCAGGCCCATGGGAAGTGGGGACTGTATAATTCACAATTTTTGTTCATCTTAGATCAGGGAAGGTTTCTGCAAAACTTCATTGAAAATGGATTAGTTGTTTTTCAGTAGAAGTCGAAAGTGTTAAATTGTTTACAGACTCACGACGCCGAATGAAGGGTATTTGAATAGGTCCTAAAAAGGTTACATACGATGATGGATGAAGCACAATGGCTATTAGTCATCTTGACCTTTAAGGTCAGATGACCTAAAAACCTTGCATAGCTCTTCAATGACTGAAAAGCAAAATGATAATTTACTGAAGAAAAATATTTTCAAAACTTACATCAACATCATTCCCAAAAATGTGTATTACATTTTTATGATTTAGCCTCGTAACGATATCCAACTCCCTCTTCGGTAATGATGAATGATGATATGTGACCCTATCATGAAATACTTTTACAGCACATTTTTCTCCATTGTCCTAAAAAAGAAAAAGAAAAAAGATGAAAAATCTTTAATGAATTGAAAAAGAGGACTGATGAAATATTTGAAGTGTATTATACTGTAATTTGTAAACTTGTTTTTAAAGGATTACTGCTCTGACAATGGGAGTTAAAGAATAGATTCTGTGTCTCCAGTCATGATACTTCATCCTAGAATAATTTGTCAATGCTAACAGTGAACATCTTAGAGTAACATATAGTGCATGTATACAGTGGTTTATCTACATTTCTAATATCAGAACATATTCCATCAAAAAACAGGGAAATATCAGGTCATTTCCAATAACTGGTTTCTGCCTCAGGGTGGTTGAGTAAGAAATGAAACAAGAGGCCCACAGGCATTACCAGTCATCGGACTACAAAAACTTTCAGCAGAGAGAAGGGTTATTTTTTCTACTTTGAAAGAAATCCTACTAAGAAGCTGTTATTTATCAGCAGGTAACTGTAACAAGTGTTAACTTTTTCTGACTGCAAAGTTGGAGCTAAATCTGACTGATGAAACTTGAGAAATTTGAAATAGGAGTTGCACAAGAAAACCATGATTGCGCAACCAAGTTACAAAATAGCCTCCCTGGTTGAAAAATTACAACACTTTGTTGGCTACCAGTCCTTAATATTCCAACCATTTTTTAGCTCAATGGCACCATTGAAACTGGAGGAGAAGTTTAAATGTGTTTTTCAAGATGGTGGCCATCTAGGATTTCAGCCATACACGAAAAATAACAACACTTAGTCAGGACTATCTCTGGATCATTTCATGCAAGTTTGAGCTCAATCCCACTGTCGGAACTTGACAAGAAGTTTAAAATGTCAAAAGTTTATGCACGCCAGATGATGACGGACAAAGCAAAATGGCTATACGTCATCAAAGACCCTCTATAACCTAAATATTATTGAATTGTTGTTTTGTGTGTAGTCAGTGTTGACATGGCCAAATAATGCATGTAAATGTCTTTCATCTTCAGTGAAAATCTGTATTTTTTCATTTCACAGAAATTCTTTGACCCTACATGTGTATTTCTGTATTCAGTAACTAACATATGTATACTGTATGTTTCTTTCTGCAAACAAAACCTTTCCTAAACAAGCCAAATTTTCATGTCTCATGCTTGGCCAATTTGAGAGAAGTTTCCATGTATCAATGTTCTACCAACCTTTCTCACAGCTTTATAAACCACAGCCGTGGCTCCACGTCCTAGTATATCTTCTACATTATAAAGAAATAGTCCTGAGGTTTTCCATTTCACATTTTCATATGACATTAATGTCCATCTGAAAAATAATTTTAAAAACATCAAAGCTGGGATGAAGTGGCTTTAAATAAGCAAACAAGAGGCCTATCAGCCTTAACAGTCACCAGAGAAAAGCAATGCTGAATATAAAGGTTAAAAGATAGTTATCAAGTTTCATGAAACAGAAAATGTGATACTAAATACAATAACCTAGTATCAATACATGCATAACATCAAAACTGTCATCCTATACTAATAATTCTTAATCCAGTGTGAAATATGCAACATTATGCTCAAAAAAGCAGTTTTTCTATGAAAATTTCAGTAAAGTCTGATCAAGAGGCCCAGGCCCCTACCAGTCATCTGACTACAAAAACTTTCAGCAGGGAGAAGGGTTACTTTTTCTACTTTGAATGAAATCTTACTAAGAAGCAGTTTTCCATGATGCAGATGGTAGCTTTGATGAGGAGTAGGTAACTTTAACAAGTGTAACCTATTTTTTGACTGTAAAGGTGGAGCTCAATCCGACTGGTGAAACTTGAGAAGAAGTTTGAAATAAGTGTTGCACAGGAAAACCATGATTGTGCAACCAAGTTACCAAAAAAAAAAAACCCTTTCTCACCAGGAAGAAATGTGAGACTCATTTTGGTAATTAAAGCACCTTCAGATGCTTCCATTCACAGTGCATTTGATTCTACCATATCAGGGTGCTGAGAAGAAGTTTTTAAAATCTAAGTCTATTGGACCCCTTTTGACTACGCCCATCAGCCCCTTGGGGTCAGTCAGGATCAAAATGGGCATACCATCAAGCCGTCATCCTTCATTCATAATTCTAACCAAGTTTGAAATATTTCCAGATTATGCTAAAAAATCACGATTCCTATATTTACTCTGGTAAACTTTATTCCCTCCCCTCAGGGAAATGTCGAGTCCCTTGACCATAAAATTCATAATTTTGATAAACCATCTTAAGATGTTTCCATTCATGAAGAGTATATGATTCTACCATATCTGGGTGTTGAGAAGAAGATTTTTGAAATCTGAGTCAATTTGATCCCTTTTGGAGGACTGTATAAATCACAATCACAATGTTGTTTCATCTTAGGCAAGGGAAGGTTTCTAGGAAATTTCATTGAAATTGGATCAGGGGTTTTCAGAAGAAGTAAAAAATGTTAAATGTTTATATACACAAGACACCAGATGAAGGTGATTGCAATAGAACACCATGAGACTCAGGTGACCTAAAAAACCTAAGGTGATTAACAGATGAAACACCTTGATTTCCTTCTAAGGTCATCAGTGTCATATATATTAAAAACCGCTAACAGTTTCTTTTTAATAACTAAAGCCAGTAGTATGTTTGGCTGAAGGATTAACAAGTTCATTAAATAACCTTCAATCCTTTTCCAGGTCACATGGGTCAATTGTTTTGAATCATCACATAACCAAAACTAATAAAAAAAAAAGGCCTCGGACTAAAACTAACCTTTGATCATGATATTTGACGAGTAACATGCAATACATTGTTGAAGGGCTTATGTTTGTACACAAGGACTAGAGTCATGGGACTTGGCCAGTAAGCATGCATATGTTTAGTTTGTTCAAATGAATGACATTTCATACAGAAACCATTGCCATCACATCTTTGAGCATGCACGGTAAGGTAAATTTCAAAAGATCCATTTAATATCCAGGAAAGTGTGCATGTCTTAAATTCTAACAAATAAGACTAGTGACTTGGAGAAAAGCAAATTCACTAACACCCAAGCACTAGAACTAGGCTTTAAACGACTTTGTGAGAAAATAACTTACACATCAAATATGATAACCTATAGTTCATGGTGACCTCCACAATTGGCAAGGATAATGGCAACATCCTTACCACTAACAACATCATGTATGGTGTTATGTGACCATTTTTCTTGTTTTTCCCTTTCTTTGTAGTAAATATCTGAAACAAAGCATAAATGCTCTAAAATACTAGACACATTGAGCACTTACAATGAAATTTTAAGCTGTCATTTTATCAAAATATTAGAGAAAGAGGCTAAAACAATTCTTTCCTGAAATTCAAAATGTTTTAATGTAAATCAAATGGTCCATGACATTTGAATTATTGCATTTACTGTAAAATACATATTTAGAAAATACCTGAAGATATATACAAATCTGGAAATCCTACTTCACATAAGTATAGCTACTTTCTATTCAACCATTATCACAGTTTTTTGTTTTTTTTCCATATTACACAATACACAATATACAAGAGAATCCACACAAAAACATACACACACACTCTCACACGTGTGTGCTCTTACTTGAATATGTCTTACACATATACATGCATCATCATCTTTATCATCATGCACATGTATCTACTACTTACTGCACACAAACTCACTCATCAGCAACATTCACACCCACTTACACTCACATAGCAAACTTACATGTACTTAACAAAATACTCACACACACACATACAATATCATATCACTTACACTTATCAAAGATATTTTCTCACACACACATACTCACTCATGAATACATTCATATATATATAAAAAAAACATTATACATCCTAAACAAAAAAAGAGAGAGGGAGAGAGGAGTAAGAGAGAGCGAGAGAGAACCCAACATGCTTGAAATTTTAGTCAACTTTTCAGTGAGTGAAAGATTTCTTTGGTCTGAATTTTTACTCAGGATGCTAACTTTGTAGTTTTTTTAAGGACTGATATGGTTAAATCATTGACTGAGGAATGCTTGCACATTCTTACATCATCAAGATTGTTTTTGAAACCATTTTCAGCCATGTACAAGTGTACGTGTGTTATCCCAAGCATAGCAGTCAACGAGGATTAACAGTGTATTCACCTAGCTAGGTCTTGATGATGTGGCCAGGTGGTCAGTCTTACCTATTTGACAAATATAGCAAGGTTTCTTATGACCTACATACACGTATATCTGAAATTGGGAGATTATCCCAATTTTTATCCATACAATTGGGACATGGGGCTGGGGAGTGAAAATCAGGAAACTCCGCACTGAATTAGGAAAAAGTTGGCAGGTATGTACAAACTTGTATGATGCTATATAGTGCACACAAGTTTTGGATAACAAACACATACATGAAATCAAATGTGTTCATCTATAAGATTTTTTTTTTTTGAGATTTATCAGTGAAACACCAGTATTTTTCTAAAAATATATCCACATATCAGACTTCAAATTCGCCCACCTGAAACGATCAACATGTGACTGCACTTTCGTTTCTGATGACATAACTTAATCATTGACACCCCTGAGTTAGCTTAGAATGATCCAGATGTACACATGTATTACATAAAATTAGCATTTGAATGGGAATGACATTCTGGCGACATGAAAAATAAAAATTAAATAATGTAAATAGGATATCAACTGTGACAAGCACAGAGTAAGTTGGCCCACTTACGTCCTTCGTCAGTTAATTTATATGAAATACATAGCACCATTTTCTTGACAAACTTCTTTTTTTACAATACAAACTCTAAATAAAATTAACTTTTCACTAGTGCATCAAAAATCAGAAGTGAGTTATAATCACAAAGGATAATTTAAAAATCACCACTTTCCACTTAAGACGTGCATATTTTGACTTTCATAGCCAAATATTTGCAAGAAGGCCTGGTCTATTAATCCTGATCAAATTTCATTCACTTGACAAACGACGACAAAACACTGGCATCTTAGGAGGAGTTGATTCATTGTTTCATATCTTAGTGGATGTTGGACATATAAAAATGTGTATTAAGAAAAAAAACCCAAATAATTGCCGATGAAATATTTACTCAGAATATTTTATGATGAAAGATTTTAATCACTATCATTTATTCATTCTGGAAGCGCGACATATTTATGATATTACGGCAACCAAAATTATCCAGGTGCGAGGTCACAAATATCAACCCTGTGAAAAATGCATATCACCGATATGCAAAAATCTTGAAAATGTTATGAATTCGTTCTGTATCAGACTTTTACAACATTTTCATAATTTTTCTGGAGAAAAATTGAAAATTATGATTTTTCATAACCTAGTACGGCGTGCTTTCGGCCCCAGACGCGATACCCGATCCCCTCCTTGTCACTCTGTTTTTTAACTTGCAAAGCAGGAATAGTCTCTATATAAACTGCTTCCTCTAGTTCATGAGTACGATATATCACAAATCATATACCTACTGGTCGCTTTTTCTGAGTGCTTATTGAAAATGTTCACGATTCCTAACAATGACTTGGGTTTCAGACTTTGAGTTCAACCTTCAATTTGCTACTGCGCATATGTAGTGAAACCACAATTATGCGCATGTCAGATAAGGCGAAAAAATCGTAACGTTCATCTAGCTCTCATCCAGACTTGCGTGACATGGAATCGGACGTTAAATATTGAGGAGCGATAAAAGAGGTAAATTCGAAGTTTGTTAATAAATTTCAGTCGAAGTAAACATATTTAACCCTGATAAATACTATCCGCAATATACCGCTAGGATGGCGAGAGCTTCTCTGCTACTTGTCTTCAAAGCAATACGGGTTTTCATCGGGAAGATCCACTTGCCTCCAACTTGTAGAGGTAATGGATAAGTGGACTGAAGCGTTGGACAATGGTCAAATGATCGATTGTATCTATATGGATTACCAAAAGGCATTTGATACAGTTCACCACAAAAGATTAATCAACAAACTTAAATCATATAATTTTTCCGAACAAATCATCTCGTGGATATCATCTTTCTTAACTGGAAGAAGCCAAAAAGTAACGGTAAACGGAGTCGATTCGGAATGGGGTGATGTTACGTCAGGAATTCCACAACGATCAGTCCTGGGACCTATACTTTTCGTTATATTTGTTAATGCTCTGCCAGAAATGGTCAAATCGGAAATGTACCTTTTTGCTGATGATACAAAGATATCTAAAATAGTTGAAAATAATAACCAATGTAAGGATCTGCAGAAAGACCTTGACACATGTG